TTTTGTGAAAACTAAAAAAAACTCATCAAACTTCATCAAAATCTCACAGAAGTTTCCAATTAAAGACCTTGATATACCAGATTTTTTTCAAAATTTTTGAACTTGCCGTTTTTTTTCACGTGGGTTTACATGAACCTTAAGAAGAATAAGAATATAAATATCAGTTCAAAAACTGAAGAGATATAGATTGCCGATCTGAGAAGGAGTATATAAAATGAATAGTATTTTGAAAAACTAAAGAAACACGCTTTTATGTATAGCAACTCCTGCAGGAGCGAATTATGAACTAAAAAAGCACTTTCTGTCTGTAATTTCGAGAAAGAAGGAACTATTTCAAAAACTCATAAATACGTTTATCATATTCAGAATTCGGATTCTTCTTAGAAATGAAAAGCGAAAAAAGAAACAGAACTCCAAACGAGATGCCATTAGGAATAGTATTTGTATGAGTTGATAAAAAATACTACAATTTATAGTTGACTATTTTTCCTACTAGCATTTGAAAAATTCCACTTTTCCGCACTCATTTTAGTGCTAAAAGAGTCCTTTTTCTCCCTACCTTGTTCTCCCTAGGGAGAGAAAGTGGAAGTGGCGTCATATATGTTATTCAATAGTCTGCTATAGAGCGGAAAAATATATCTACCAAATAATGGTTGAGAAGAATTCTATTGCTAAAATTCATAAGAAAAATTGCAGAATTTTTAAAACTGTCTACCCTAACAACACGGGATCTTGCTGGTACATCCCGCTAAGGTCCTACAAATGTCCCAATGTTTCAGACTTAGGTACGATATCCCAGAGATGTTTCTCTTGGGACATCCATCAGATGTTTCCGTTGGATGTTCTAGAAACATCCCATTTGATCTTTTTTTCATAAACAATATCATGATTCCATATTTGCTAATCATGATTGAACAGTTCAAACAATTGTGACATTTGAAACATTGAAAAGTTGGTTAAAAATGGAAATCAAAACCGTTTCCGTACTTATATACTCATACCTATACCAAAGCCGGCTAATTTCATAGATAACAAATTGAAATAATTATACTAAATATTCCTCAATAAGATTACCAATGTACCTGCTTAACTCCATGAACCATGTAATAAACGACAAAATTGAAATATATCTCTTCAGCATATTTATTGCTGAATTTATTTGTTATACCAGCCGATAGATGGCGGTACAACTTCGTTGCTAAGAATTACTAACAGCCGTCGGCCCAGCGCCAACAAATATGAGCCTCAAACAACTGTTATTATCTTCCATTAGTTATTGGACCGCACCGACCTTATATTTTCGGATTCGCATTGTTACTTCATATCTGGAAATAGGTCGGCCATTTTCAGGATTTCAGATTGAAAATAATTCATACCGTGTCATCCATTTCTGTCATCTAACAAAAAACATCCTAAAAGTCTCTTTAAGATGTTCCACATCAAGTACCCTGATTGTCTCTGGTACATCCCGTATCATCCCACAAACATTCTGATGGGATGTTTATAAGACATCGCAAATGCTGACACGGGTGTTGCCAGCAACATCCCAAGAATGTCCGAAGGAAAATAGGGATTTTCCATCAGAGATGTTCCTATCATCCCATATGGATGTTTCTACGACGTCTTACAGATGTTATTGTGTTATTAGGGTAATGTCATAAATTATACCGGACATTGTTTCCGAAGAACCTCGACAAGTTTACTTGCAAATTCTGGAGGAAACATTCTTGCTTGCTACGAATATCGCTGAAGGGTATGTGCAGCAATCTTTCATAAAATAGCAAAAAATGTCCAACCAGATTGTGGGTCACTGAAGTCAATGAAATTGATTGTAATCAGCCAAGTACGAATTCTGTATAATAATGTTTCTTATATCAAATAATCACTGCCCAAAACTACATTTTCAACATTAGTTTATATATAGTTATTACTCGCTACCACAAATTGAAAATTTGTAGGATGAAAGGGTGAAAATAACGTGCCTATAAGTTATAAGTACTGTATATATACCTACTTCTTTGTTACTTTCATCAATAAATTATTTAAAAATGACTTTTTATTTAAGGGAGACGGAAGAATCATATGTATCTATAACATAAGGGGAAAGTATATTCTATTCTTTATTTTCCTGCACATTTTACGTATAACTTTTTATCAGCCTATTTTTCGTCCTAGACGAAGTTTTATTCATAATGTGATAACACTCCATAAATTCTTCTCCGAGTTGGATTTCCGAAAATATATTTAGCACACATGACATGGGTACAGTAGTTTAGATACCCACATCGAGGTTTTCACCAATTCTCAATCATGAGCTCAGCTCATAGATAAACTACTGCACAGCTTGAAATCAGAATGCATTCAGTCAATTCAGACAACCCTTGTATACAGTCTCGGAACAGTCTCTTTTGGTGAAATATATTAATTAATAGTTTTCAGTAGAATTAATATGTTCCCTACCTCGCAAAGATTATGCTGGGATAGTAAACTTTGAAACTGAAGGATTGTTCATCTATATCTTGGTATAGTTGAATCAGTAATTCCATATGGGAATTACGTATGATACGCCAATGACCTCAATATAACCTAAAAAACGATAAATGTCAAAAGTCTAGTGTTTATCGCCAGAATTGAATAAGGATGGAACTATATAACTGTTTCACAAACACTGTTTAGATGACTTTAACGTCAATTTCCATCAAAAGACCCTACCCTATACATTTCTATTATTGAAATTTTTAATAATTTTCTGTGGCGCCCATGGATGTGACGTGACAGCAATGTCAGAGATGCCACTGTCAGTAGACAAAACTAAAGTCTCTAGATCATTCGGAAAGAATGCAGCTATGATCTGTCGTGCATCTGTCCTAACCGTTACCACCGATACAACAAGGCCAGCAGACTCTGACGTAAACAGCTCGTGACATCACCAAGAGAGGCCAGTGTTTTATTTTATCGCTTGTCGACTAACGCGTCAGTTCGTGTTAATTCATCGGTGATTCATCGGTGAAATATTTTGTGTTGTGATCGGCGAAATAACAATGCCTTTCAAGTGTTGTGTTCCCTTTTGTCGGGGGAATTATGTGGGTGGTTCAAAAGTTCATGCTTTTAGTTTCCCGTTGGACGAGGAGCTATCGAAAATGTGAGTATATGCAATTCACCGCGAGGATTTCACTCCATCTAAGTTCAGTAGTAAACAGAGCTTAATTTATAATGATGAATTAATAATAGAAGACAATTACTCTCTCATAAAAAGTATAAGTAGAGGAAAAATAGAAAAGCTTTGATTGTGCAGTTAGTTTTGTATTCGTATATTATAGTCAACAAAATCATCTCTGAATTCGAGGAAATTTTCTTGAATGTTCATAATAAACGGGCATTTTTAATTCTCATTCTCAAATTTCTTTCTGAAAACGGTCATCTGCCTCGTGGCAATGAATGCAGAATTCATTCCAATGATCGAATTGCAACTATCATATTAACATGAACTATACAAACACTCTACTTAAAAAGGTAAAACTGCATTTATCATGATATTTATCATGAAGATATTTGACTAAAAAGTTTTAAATTTCACCTTCTTTTTCACCTGTCTTCTGGATGGCATTTAGAACAAATTTCCCTTCTTTCTTCATCATATATTGGACAATTTATATATAATAATTCAACTATAAATGTGATTTTCTTGAGATTAATCCATATTTAGTGAAAAGAAGGAAGAATATTATTCAAAATAATGGCGTGTGTAATGTCATTCGAAAGCAATCTATTGACATTTGACATCTCGTATTTTGATTGACTATTGATTAAATGGTCGTCATCTGGAATGCTTGTTCACTAAATATGAAAAACTCGCCATAAAAATCATGTTTCCTGTTGAATTTTCTATATAAAAATGTGCCATCGATGTACATCATGAATATATAAAGTGTCCAATGACAAAATAAGAGCAAGTATAGCTTCAAATGCCCCCAACACAAGGGGGGAAAGAAGGCGAAATTTCGAACTTTTTCTTGAGATATCTCAATAAATAGTGATTTGTTCACATTCTCATTATAAAATTCGTCGTATAATATGTCTTGAAGCTTTTCAGTTTTCAATGACAATTGGTGACTTCACAATTGAAAAAATCTCTTCATGTTGAAAACGGGAGCAGAATCGGTCCCGAAACGTCCAAAGATGAGTGGAAATTTGATATTTTTTCTATATACCTTTATTTCTCTTCTCCAAAAATTTTTCAATACAAATTGTCACTGACAAGCTAGTGAATTTTTCTTTTAGGCTCTCTGATAGGAAAATTTTTTAAACGCAGTGACATTCACATATATATACTACACGTATATTGAAATAATATTCATATTTTTATTTTATAGAAACGAGGAGAAAAAATCCCAAAAAATTTGAAATAATGAATGTACCACCTCCTCGATTAACCACAGTATTCAGTTCATTGTACCAGTATTTCACCTGATGAAGCTACTGTGTTAGCGAAACATGTTGTGTGTTTAATAATCTTGTGTAAATTTTATCGTTTGTGAAGTTTTTACATATATAACAGTTGTTCTGCTAGAAGTGTGTGTTTGTACCCTAGATCCATTGTCCATCTATGGCTATGATTGATTTGACAGAAAATATAACTTCTAAAATCGTATCTGACAATCAGGCGATACTAGGAAAATTGAAAAGACAAAGAGCAGAATATATGTCATTCACTCAAACCATTTGTATTATAGAAAATAGAAAAGGACAAAAGTTCAGCTGTGTTCGAACTCTTATCAAACTAATACCATCCAGTGACTCTAGTTGTATGGTTGTACCCTGTTAAGATGACTTTAACGTCAATTTCCATCAATAATACGTATATGCACTGTACTGACAGTCATAGTCTGCCGACCGGTCGGCAACCAACAAAAAAAGTATAGATTGCCGACGGGTCGGCAGCCCAGACACTTCCCAGATTTTATGTCATCGTGTCATAAAAATTCATGGCTTGTCTTGTCAAATGTCAAATGTCCACTAGGTATTCCATTCCATTTCCATTTAGAAAATAGAAATTCCCACATTGTCCACTTTCAACTGGTACTATTATTACCATACGTGCAAATGTACATGATCTAATATTGAGATATTTTGTATTAATATTGGTAAATAGTTTTGTCATCATGCCTGCTGCCGAAGACGTGAAATCTAGTTGGGCGGATGAAGTGGAATTAGAAGGTGGATCATTGCCTCCATCTACTGAAGTGTTTGAACATGGCTTCAAGATTGTAACAGATTACAAGTACAATGATGATGATAAAAAAGTCAAGTTCGTGCGTACCTATAAAATAGAGAAGCGTGCGGTTTCCAAATCCATTGCATTACGGAAAACTTGGAAGAAATTTGGAGAATGTGCAACTGATAAACCTGGCCCAAATCCAGCCACCACCATTGCAGCAGAAGATGTATATATGCAATATATCACCAGTAAAGAGGAAGATAACAAGCAGGAAGATGATGGCATGGATAAACTCAAAGGTATAATATTCTATTTCTCATTTGGTACAGATTTTACTTTTACATTTTTCTTCCGGCCAGCAAAACTGATCAACAAAATGAACATCAGCATGGTTCAAAATATAGCCAAATTCAAAATTGAATTACTTATGTATCCCATAACTAAGTTCAATTTGGTTTCCACAGTTGGGTAACCAATCTTTTAGTAATCCACAAGGGGTACACAGTAGTCAAAATTGTGTACACTAAATTTCAATTTTACAAGGAATTCCAAGGAAATACTTACAAGAAATTCCAGTTGTTTGTAGAACAGGGATATAGCTCACTTCACCCAAGGTATTCCAAAGAATTCCAGTTGTTTGTAGACCAGAATTCCACCATGGTTTACCTCTGTGATCATCAAAGCAATTAGGCAATCCCATTCTATATAGAATCAATATGGTGCCTGGTTAGCACCTAGATTAGTAGGTTGGCACCAAGCACCACTAATAAATGAAATAGTTAACTGTTTGTGATTTCCTGATGATATGACTTGTACTTCTGATACCAACAGGAATTCACATATAGAAACAAATTATGACACATAAATGCTTTCATTGTGTGCCAACCAGTCCATAGTTTCACAGGTAGTTGGATTGCCTGATAGATCACCTGCACATATTACAGATGACCAGCCCTGGAGGTAAAACAATCTCACTTCTCTAATTTGCTTACATAGGATTGAAATGGTTTTTAACATTCATTTTGGCTAACAGATAATGTTTTCTGGGATATTTATTTAGTCAAGCATGCCACATTGTACTGTTGCACAGAACAGAGGGACTGGTCTGAAGTGTTGATGACATATCGTGGGCGTACAAGCAGCATCATGTAAGTCCAGAAAATAATATAAGGAGAAAAACGCAATTGAATATTCCAATCAACCTGTAAAATTATAACAAAATTAGACTTGAGTGGATTTTCATTGACTATATCTCCGGAAACAAACGCAAAATGGACTTGAATGTTTATTTGCCTGGAGCATTATGCTCATATGGACTTATGTGTGATAAATTCCTCATTTCCGAAAAAAGTGGACTTACAGGGTTCTGCTTGTACGAAATAGAAATGACTATGGTCTATGCAAGGTCTATGGCAGTGCTGCCAATGCAATTCAAGTCCTTCCTTCTCTTTAGCACGTGAAATCCTCTGCAAATGAACAAAAACCTCCTCTTCTTGACAGGGTTATAGAAGGTATGAAATGAAAGGGAATTTGATTTGATGTCACATAAATGTTGAATATGTCATTCTCCTTGAAAAGTATTGCATGAGACATGTGAAACAAATTAATCTGTGACATTGTGGGCTCTTCTAGTCTCTGGTGTTTTCTGTATTCTGTGAGAGAGCCCCCCCTTTATATCACAGCTATCAGTTGTGCGATCTTCACCAAATTTGTAGCAGTATGAATAATCATCAATATGACCAATTCTTCAAAGACAAACATCATTTTAGACAGTGCCGTGCATTTTTATTGAAATGAATAGGAGTCAGTTTTTTATTAAATCATATTAGGCATTTTTTCACAGGAAAACTGACCTCATAATATTGTTCTTCATGGTTTCAAACCCACATATGTGGATTTTCATAAGATGCCTATGAAGGGTTTCAGAAAAACAGGCACATCTAAACAGCATTTTTTTGAACCTAATAATTATTTACTCCAATTGGTGAGTTCAACATAAAAAAGTATAACTCGGTTTTCCTTCCAAATCATGATTTTCCACCTACCAGAGCCATTGAACGTTCCAAAATTCGTAGTGGATTTGAAGTCACTATTTATTGGAGACTGAAAATGAAAAAAAAGAAGCCAGTTCTGTTAATTTGGAATTAGGTGATTTTTTGCATATGGAAGTTTGAAAGCATGAGGAACAATAATATGAGGTTAGATTTCCTGTGAAAAAATGCCTAATAATAATAATAAATAATAATAATAATAATAATTTTATTGATCTTAGAAACACAGGGTTTATAGACACGTCATGAAAGTTGAGAGCAGTTACCTACAAGAGCAAAGTTCATAAAATTACAACAATAAAGTACATCAATTCAAAATATAAAATACAAATACAGATACATGCTGAAATTCTGTATATGATTTTATGAAGAATCGATCTCTTTTTAGTTCAATAAAAACGCACGGCACTGTCCAAAATAATGTGCATCTGTAAAACTGATCATATTGATGGGTATTTATACCACATCGAATTTGGTTGAATTCGAATGACTAATAACTGAGATATAGAGGGGGGGCCATTTAAAGTGTGACACGCTGCATATCTATATATATAGAAAACTATGTGTTAGGAAAACAGCTAAAATCTCTATTTTCTTGAGGTTGCAGTCAAAGGGAATGGCCAATGTAGAGAAAAGACTCTTTGTTAAATTGTCCAGCTTTAGAAAAAATACAAAGACCCATTATAAGTATGGTATTTTGTGTAAAAATTGAAAAACCTTAAACTTGAGTGGTTACATAGAAAACAGCTAATGCACATCATAGTTGAACTTTAAAACACTGCACGATTTGTGAAAATATATCAAAAAATATTAAAAATAATTACATTACAATTCTTATTATTTTTTTCCCTCATAATGTCTATCAAAAATGTATTACCTCAACCCACCCTCCATATTACTAACACTCATTGTTGAAATAGTCCATGTGCACCTAAAGACATAAAATTGAACCTTGTGGGATACTGTAATAAATTCCAAACTTAATAAAATATCGTTTTTAAGCATTTTCGTTTTGTCATTATGTCTATTGAAAATTTATCAACTCATCTCACTCATATCACAAACCCTCATAGTTGAAACAGTCCATGCACACCTAGAGACATGAAATTGAAGCTTGTGGGATACTGTAATAAATTTGAAACTCATTAAAATATCTTTTATATGCTTTATTTTCGTCATTATGTCTATTGAAAATTTATTAACTCATCTCACTCTTAATATTACCAACCCTCATAGTTGAGACAGTCCATGCCCACCTAGAGAAATGAAATTGAAGCTTGTGGGATAATGTAATGAATCTAAAACACAATGAAATATAATTCATGTCTCATTTTTCCCGATAATACCTATACAAAATTCATTTATTTTCACTCTTCATATAACCAATTCACATAGTTGAAATAGAACATGTGCACTTAGGGACATGAAAAAGAAGGCACTGGGACGAAATAGCGCAGGACAAAATAGCGCGGACAAATGAGCGCAGGACAAAATAGCGCAGAGACGAAATAGCGCAGAGACGAAATAGCGCAAAGGCGAAATAGCGCAGGGTCATAATAGCGCAGAGACGAAATAGCGCAGAGACAAAATAGCGCAGGAACAAAATTGCGCGCGAAAATGGAGTGCAGGATCTATGATTAGGTTTGTTCGTTTGTTAGAGTAAAGACTCATTCTTCAAATACAAGGTGTTTCAAAATGAGTCTATACCCTAGCAAACAAACTAACCTAATCATAGGTCTACTTCGAGGGGTGATCCACTGGGTTGAAAAATGTACGGGTATTGCCAAATCGGCAATACTTTAGGAAATATTGCCTATATTTCCAGTATTTCCTGTTATTGCTGGCAATAAAACCAGTATTGCTCGTATTTCCAGTCTATTGCCTATATTCCCTATGATTCCTAGAATATTGCTTTTATGCCTGACTATTGCTTGTATTTCCTGAATATTTCCTGTATTTCCTGAACATTTCCTGTATTTCCTATAGATAATTTCTGTATTCCCAGAATTATTCTGAAGGGATCATCTACTTTGAACACTAAGAAAATGTGAAGAAAGAAACATTATTGTTCCATACAATTTTTTCAAGGTTTTTCGCTCATTATCTCTGAATTTATTAGAAGAATACTCTTCAAATTTGGAAAGAAGAATAATATAAGTAGTCATAAAACTGCAAATCGATGAATAAATTTGTTTCTGTGATCAACCAGCACAATCAAAAGAAATGAGAATATAGTTGGTCTGACCGTTAGGTATTTGAAATGATGTACAGGGTGTCTCAAACTGAACGCGTTCTCATGGGAACACCGGAACACCCCTTATTAAAGGAGATAAAAAAAAGTTAATCAAGTTGCCCAGAGCACAAATTAAATGAGAATTTCGCCGATTTATTTAATGCCCCATGACTTTCTTATTAATGAAGATAATTAATTTTGGTAAAACCTTTATTTGCGCCAGTGGTTTTCTCACCAAATTTGAGCGCCGACTATCTTATTTTCGAAAATTCTTCATCACAATGACACCTTATTTGTATAAAAATGTATCGAAAATAATTACAATATGAAGACAAATATCGATGTTGAAATCTGTACGTTTTGGGAACGGTTGTCAACATGAAATGTATTGAATAGAAAGTGAAAAATATATTCTTTATGCAATTAACACATGGAATATTCAAAAATAAAATGAAAATGTTCCTGAATAAAAAAGGTAAACAGATCAACCTAATTATCGTATATGTGGATTCCAATATTTGTAGAAATAAATGTTCTTTTCCATATACAATATTATCACTCTGACTGAACAGTTTTCCTAAAATCCCTATATATTTTTTTGATGGCAACTTTAGTTGTTCGATTCAGCTGAAAAGGTCCAATCCCATTCAAATCTATTGGACCATATATAACAAAATTCGTTTCTATATCTTGAATGTCATCTTTTTTCGGCCAAATATAGGCTTCTAAATTTTTTTGAAGGAACTTCACAGTGCACCAAGTGCTGTCATTGAATATTTTTAATATTCTACCAAGGTAGAATTGATTGTCGTAGTATACGGCATAATACTTTTCTTCGGTCAACACTACTCTGTCGGGTGAACTACGAGTTTCATCAGCGGCTCGATCAGCGGTCAATTCTTCGAAACTTTCATTTTCGAATTCGCTTTCGCTTTCAAAATCGAAACTGGTGTCAGTCTCGGTGTCAGTAGCATCAGTATCAGTTTTGTTCGAGGTTCTCTTTTTAATATTCTTA